TCTTTTATGCCAATAATCATTAGGATATTAAGTAAAGATCATGTTCCATGAAGATATTTAGTAAATTTCCTACTAGGGCTGCACAATTAATTGAATTTCTAATCGATTACAATTATGGATGCCACAATTACGTAATCGTTCAAAGTCCACTTATGTTATTCTGCACGCTTAAGATGCTTTTTTTTCTTTCTACATGTTATCTTAAGGGTTTTTCCATTGTTTTAATGTTTATTTTATTATAACACTATAATACCATTTATATTTTTATAATTTAAAGAAGAAACCAATCCGATGTATATTTGACATTTGAGGCTTAATACTATAGAAAAGCACTAAAGGTTTTTCAGTTCGAGTGTTTTCAGCTTGTTTATGTTCATATAAAAATACGGCATGCAGTTGCATCAAACAACGGTATAAACATCATTCAGTGTAAATTGTGATAATTGTAATTAATAATCGTCAATTATGATTTTTGTCATAATCATGCAGCCCTATTTCCTACCGTAAATATATCAAAACTTAATGTTTGATTAGTAATATGCATTGCTAAGAACTTAATTTGAACAACTTTAAAGGAGATTTTCTCAATATTTAGATTTTTTTGCACCCTCAGATTCCAGATTTTCAAATATTGTCATATCCTAACAAACCATACATCAATGGAAAGATGATTTATTCATTTATTCAAATCTCACTTTCAAAAAATTAACACTTAAGATTGGTTTTGTGCTCCAGGGTCACATATTGTACCGTGGACTTCATATCGCAATAATACCGTATCGTGAGATTTTGATATGGTTACATCCCTTACTTATGAGCGAGCATGGCATGACTGGGGCGTCGTCAGACTCACGGTCCTCAAACAGCAGGCCGACGGTGTTGACAGGGTCTCGGCTCAGCAGCATGATGGGATTCTCTCTGGAGGTCTTGGGGAAGGTCTGAGCCTGCTGGATGGGGTCGAAGACGAGGTGTCGGCCCTCGTACAGAAAGTCCTGATGGGATGGCGTTATGTTTGTCCGTCTGAAGAGCAGCTCCTGAAAGAGATTCGCCCTGAACGGAGAGAAAAATATAACACGACACAGATTACACACAAATAAATGGACATAAAATGATCTTTACATTAGCATGAAGATGACTGAAGAACGAAAAGACCCTTTTAACATTTCTGCGTTTTTTTTACAAGCAAAAGTCGTCATGCATTCATTTACATTACATCTACATTTAGTCATTTAGCAGACGCTTTTATCCAATGAGGACAATGGAAGCAATCAAAACCAACAAAAGAGCAATGATATGCAAGTGCTGTAACAAGTCTCAGTTAGCTTAACGCAGTACACCTAGCAAGGTTTTTTAATTTTTTATTATATAATAAATAAAAAGAAAACAGATAGAATAGAAAAAGAATAGAGCAAGCTAGTGTTAGAGGCCTTTTTTTTGCTAATTGTATAATAAAAAAAAAGAAAACAAATAGATAGAATACAAAAAGAATAGAGCAGCTAGTGTTAGTGGCGAATGAAAACTACAACAAATATCATTTCTGCATTTCCATTTAGGATTACTTTGATATGGAAGCCTGTTTTCACCACTGAATTTAAAAAAATCCTTTTTATCCCAAATTTGAGGGGGGGGGGGGGATCGGGGGTCAGAATTCTGAGATTTAAAACAAAATTGCTATCTGACTTTTTTTCTGAGTTTCTATCTTGCAATTGTGACTTCCTCTGAATTATGAGTTTGCATCTTGCTATTATTTTAGTTTCTGCAATGGACTAAAAATGTGACTTTTTATCTCACAATTCTGATTTCTTTCATGAATGTGAGATGTTAACTTGCAATTGCACTAAATTGCACATTTTTAATTCTGAGAAGAAAAGTCAGAATTGTGAGATTAAAAAGTCACAATTACTATTTTTGTTTTGTTTTAATTCGGTGGAGGAAATGGGTTTGTCAATATGTAGAATTTGCAGCAAACTAACTCAGTTTACCTGTAATTAAAACACAAAATATAGTCTTATAAATGTATGTTACATTTAAAAAAAATGAAAACAAAACTTTATATAAAGTGCATCATTGCAGTGTGTGAAAAGGGTCCATTGCGATCAAGCGTTGTGTGTGTGAGTGAATGTGAGTAAGTGTGCGTGTGAGTGTGTGTGTGTGGTTGCGTGCGTAAGTTTGCGTGAGAGTGTGTGTGTGCGTGCGTGCGAGTGCATGTGAGTGTGAGTGCGTGCGTGAGTGAGTGAGTGTGTGCGTGCGTGTGAGTGTGCGCGTGCGTGCGTGTGTGTGTGTGTGAGTGCATGTGAGTGCGTGTGTGGTTGCGTGCATAAGTTTGCGTGAGAGTGTGTGTGTGCGTGCGTGCGAGTGCATGTGAGTGTGAGTGCGTGCGTGAGTGAGTGTGTGCGTGCGTGCGTGCGTGCGTGCGTGCGTGCGTGTGTGTGTGAGTGTGAGTGAGTGAGTGCGTATGAGTGTGCGCGTGCGTGTGTGTGTGTGAGTGCGTGTGTGTGTGTGAGTGCATGTTAGTGCGTGTGTATGAGTGAGTGTGAGTGTGTGTGAGTGAGTGCGTGTGTGAGCGTGAATGAGTGAGTGTGAGTTTGTGTGTGTGTGTGAGTGAGTGCGTGTGTGTCCTCACGTGTTGTATGCGTGTATGTAGATGTGGTGAAGCGTGGCCTGCTGCAGACTGAACACGTAGACCACGATGCGGTGTAAGATATCGCTGGTCTCAGCGAAGAACTGGTCGAAGCCCCAGCATTTCTCCTGGTCTGCTTCGAGGATGTTGGCTAGCACTGGAGTGAGGAGACTCTGAAGACCCCTGAAACACACAAACACACTTCAGACACACTTCTCTAAACGAACCGGACCGTCTGGAGACTCAGACTCACTTCGAGAGGCTGCAGGAGATCGGCATCTCTGAGCTCCACTCGATCTTCCCGTTCTCAGACTTCTGATGGCCCGAGATCGCGCCGGAAGGCTTCTCTGTGATGATCTTATACCTGCCAGATCAACAACAGTCAGCATCTAGACAATATAGATGTAACGATTCACTCAACTCACGATGCGATACGATTCACGGTACTGATTTCACCATACGATTTTCTCATGATTTTTTTAACAAAATGGGTTTTAAGACAAAATATAAATGAAAAGATGTCCTTTTATTATTTCTCAGACAAAATACTGCACATTCCTTGGTGAAACTGAAATATATTTTATGTCAAATAACAAAACTAAATAGAACTTTTAAAGCAGTCGGCTCGGGGTGCCTCATTACATCCCTACTAGCCAAACTAGGGCTGGGCGATCTTTCTGATTTTATTGATTAATAATCAAATTTAATGTTTTGCAAAGATACTTTTTTTTAAATCGAGGAATTTAAAAAAAAAAATAAAAAAATTGGCAAACGTTACAATTGGACATGTTGCCAATACACAGAGTTCTGCCTCCTCCACTATGTTTGCATCAAATAAAGCAGTTGCCATGCCAACCTGCTACTGTAAACAAGGCTTGCAACACTTGCTCCGCCTCCGGGCTCTTCTGATTGGTCCACTGTTTTGGAACCACATTGACATTGATGAGCGGTGCTGTGTGTATAAGTTGAAATTATTTTAATTTGACACGGCGTCAAAAGATGCGAGAGCAACGATCATATTCGTCCGGCGTGTGTTTACATATAAAAACATTGAAAAGTAGCGCATTGGAATGGAAAAACGCATTTGATGCATTCTACCCTATAGTGGGCAGTCAAGCACCATATTACAAAAAGTATTATGATATTTTATAATCAAAACTTTTTATGATCTTGACAAATTACATACTGTTGGAAAGACCTGAGTCTCAAGATTCCAAGATTTTGTGATAGAAGTAATACTGTGGAAGAAATTTATAAATTTGTGACAGGAAATTTGGGTGTCGCCCGGTGGCTATTTTTGGAATAACGCCTAAATAAAATTCTTTGTTTTTAATATCGGAACTTAACTTATGGATTTATATGGCTTTCTAATATATATCAGTTGGCTTTAATTATATATCAATTTTATATTTAAAATATTTAGTAAAATGTTTCAAATAAAATAAAAACTTTTCAGTACAGTGCATTTAAACTTAAACTTCCATAACATTTTTATACTTACATTTTTTTAAATTCACTTCGGCAATATTTTGCTGATTGTTTTCTTTAAGAAGAGACCAACCTTAGGTCTGTATTCCAAAGCGTTCATGAATTACAACCATTTAAGTTCAGGAAATGCATTTCAATGAAATTCACATGAAATTCATGTGAAGTTCTATTCACTTAGAATAGAACTTTCTTTAAAGGCACAATATGTAAGATTTTTTTCTTCAAATATGCAAAAACCACTAGAACAGTGTTATATATTTTGCTGACTTGTGTACTTACATTATCCCAAATGTTTCGAAGAATGTTTAAATCCAGAGAAATAAGCAATTTTAACTAGTTACACGGAGCGTGTCGCCTGCTACTGACGTCATAACTCCTTGATTTCCGTCGGTTTTGTTTTGTAGAAAACATGGAAACACCAAAGACGCTTTAATATGTTGTGTGTTTTAATAGACCGGTGACGACCGCACAGAGTAGCATTATAACAGAACTAAATGCATCTAGTATGATAAAACAGCGCTGCTTTACCCCACATACGCACGACCGGAAGCAGCAGAAGCGCTCGACTGTGACATAATAAAAGCTCTGCTGCTTTACCCCACATACGCACGACCGGAAGCAGCAGAAGCGCTCGAGCCCTCTAGCGTTTAGCCTTCTAGAAAACTTACATACTGTGCCTTTAACCAAATGGTTAATAAAGAGAATTTTACTTATGTTTTTAAGTTCACTAGTTGCATGTCAAATAAATTTAAAATTTAAATCTTGAATCAGTCAAACCAAGCCCTAGGTCAGGCATGTGAATCTGAAGTGTGCTTGATGGCACTCACATGACTTCTTTGTTCCTGCGCGGCCCTTCAAACGGTCTGAACGGCAGGCTGCCGATGGCGGCATGATAAAACGTGACTCCGATGCTCCACAGATCCACCGTGGCTCCGTATTTCTTCTGGTGGTCTTTCCTCAGCACGGCTCGCTCGTACATGTCAGGATGCTGCAAAAACACAGAGAGATCAGCGAGGATCGCGAAACACGGGCGTCACGTTTTCTAGGGATCACAGTCGCGATAAGGCAAAAGCTGATTGTCATGCGCATCTTGTCAGCGAAGCACGGTTCTGTGATCAGCAGTAAATCTCCATCCGAAGGCCAGAGGACCTCCTAATACGCCCCGCAGAAGAAACCCAGGAAATCCCTATCACTGCAGCTGAATAAACAGAAGATTCAACTGCTTTCACACGACTACGACAATACATGATTTATCCGAGTTCGTCTTATTATAATTTTCATTATAATAAAGTATATAAAATAATGCAGTGCCTTTATCACTGCTTAGAATCTGTGTAAGAAGCCACATCATCTCACAGAAGGATTTATTTCAAACACTCGCCTGACGTTACGAAGTGAGTTTGGAGTAAAAACATGTTATTAAATGTGGTCTTTTTTAACGTGCTTTCAGATGGAGCAGCATTTACTACACAGAGCCGTAGTTCACTGAGAAGCTACGCAAACAGCTTTCATTATCGATTTCATAATCACGCGATTATATCGTCTGCCTTTCTTTTTTTTTGCGTAGCTTGTCAGTGAACTACAGCTCTGTGTAGTAAATGCTGCTCCATCTGAAAGCACATGATGGAGATTTACTACTGATTACAGAACCGGCTTTACTACCTAGATGTGCATGACTATCGCATCCGATTAATCGTGCAGCCCTAACATTTCCCATCATCCTCAGCTCACCAGATACTCCTCTGTGCCGTAAAGCGACACGAACTGCTCGTCGTCCTCCAGCTCACGGGCGGCTCCGAAGTCGGTCAGTTTATAGACGGATCGTCCGTCTTCTCCGATCACACGCATGATGTTCCCGGGCTTGATGTCTCGATGGACGATCCCGTACTCTCTCAGATGATTCATTCCCGCCACTGTCACAAACATCAGCGGCAGCACTCAGAAACTCGCAAAAATAAAGCTATGAAAAGGGAATTTCACCAATAGGGGCCGTTCACACAGAACACGTATTTGCATCTCAAAACACGAGACGCAGCGCTCCGAAATGGTTTTTTAAAAAGGTGGGGCAGAATGCCTCCTCTGCCATGTTGCTGTCAAATAAAACAGTTGCCATGCCAACTTGCTACCATAAATAAAAGCTGGCAACACTTGCTCCACCTCCAGGCTCTTCTGATTGGTCCATTGTTTTGGAACTGACATCGATGCGCGGCGCTGCATGTAAAAGTTGAAATGTTTTTAACTTGACACAACATCTTAAAAACACGACACTCATGAGTGAGAAGCTGCGAAAGACGTGAGACGCGAGTGCAACGCTCACACACATCTGTCTAGCGCGTTTACATAGAAAAACAATGGAAAAGTAGCGCACTGGAAAAGAAAAACGCTTTCTGTTTGAACAGCCCCTTAGTCTGAGGAACATTTTAACAATCTAAAGAACCTTTTCCACTGAATACACCAATCTAGAACTTACCGACATCCTGCAGAACGATGAGGAACTCGTCCTCCGGGAGTCCGTAAGCGTTCGTCGGTTCCTCGAGAACCGTGTAGAGACTTCCGCACGGACAATACTCCATCACCAACACCTTATGACGCGTGTTCGACTGACACACAACATAAACATTCAAAAAATGAGCATCATATTTCAGAATGACAAGAACACAAAACAGTGAACTTTGACGTTCGTAGTTTGGAGCAAACAGGTATTACAGGTGTGTGTTTGTGAAAGTAAAACAGGGAAGAGTTTACACAACTTCAGCAGAAAAACAGAGAAGCAGAAAATCAAAGCCATCATGAAACAACAGAAACTAAACTGATATCATTCTTATATGAGCTGAAAGGTTTTTTAAAGGAACAGTCCACCCAAGTTTTTTCTTCATCAGATTTGGAGAAATGTAGCATTGCATCAGTGTCTCAATACAAGTGGATGGGTGCCGTCAGAACGAGCGCTGATAAAAACATCACAATAATCCACAGCACTCCAGTCCATCAGCTAACATCTGGAGAAGACAAAAGCTGAAACACATCCAGCATTAAGACATTTTTAACTAAAATACGAGGCCATAATCCATAATAACACTTCCTCCAGTGAAAAAGTGCATCTGCTGTTGTCTCTCGCATCAAAATCCAGCCACATATTTGTTTAGAGCCGTTTAAACGCTGCTTGATCTGTGCAGATTTCTCTCCTGATTCAGACCGCATTAATATATACATAGCCTCGTATTTTAGTTAAAAATGTCTTAATGCTGGATGTGTTTCAGCTTTTGTCTTCTCCAGATGTTAACTGATGGACTGGAGTTCTGTGGATTATTGTGATGTTTCTATCAGCTCTCGTTCTGATGGCACCCATCCACTTGTATTGAGACACTGATGCAATGCTACATTTCTCCAAATCTGACGAAGAAACAAACTCTCGGATGGCCTGAGAGTGAGCACATTTCCATTTCCGGAGAAACTATTCCTTTATATAAGCTACATTTGACATAGCAGTTGCTAAGATAAGATGGTTTTGAGACTGCGTGGGTCTCACCTCCTCCTCAACGGCGAAGAGCTTCACGATGTTTTTGTGGTTGAGTTTTTTCAGCACCTCGAACTCCCTCATCTGGACGTCCAGCGGACGCAGGAAGCTCAGGTTATTGAACACTTTGACCGCATAGAGGTCGCCGGTTTTCTACAGACACACAGCGAGATTTTCAATCACGGTACATCACTCGGATTGAGTAAACACCAGCTGTGTAGAATGTAAACCAATCATTCAAAAGATTCACTGAATCAAAATCCAGACTGTATCCAGACAATGTAGCTGCAGTTTACAACACAAAGCAAATGAAGTACAGACAGTGCAATATCAACATAAACACACGGATACCTTGTGTCTACCGCGGTAAACGTTAGCTGTGGCTCCCTGACCCAGCAGGTCAGACATCATCCACAGGTAGTTCGCCGTACTCTGCATGATGACTCTATAGATTCACCTGGAAACACATTAGCATATATTACATATTCATGAGGATCAGGTGGATTCAATCCAAATTTTGAAAACACAAATCAAATGGCAATCCATGATAATGAACATGCACCACGGAGAAACTTCACCATATGTGACCACAAAAGCAGTGTTAAGTCGCTGGGGTATATTTGTAGCAATAGCCAACAATACATTGTATGGGTCACAATTATACGTTTCTCTTTGATGCCAAAAATCATTAGGATATTAAGTAAAGATCATGTTCCATGAAGATATTTTGTAAATGTCCTACCGTAAATATATCAAAACTTAATGTTTGATTAGTAATATGCATTGCTAAGAACTTCATTTGAACAACTTTAAAGATGATTTTCTCAATATTTAGATTGTTTTGCACCCTCAGATTCCAGATTTTCAAATATTGTCCTCTCCTAACAAACCATACATCAGTGGAAAGCTTATTAATTCAGCTTTCAGCTGATGCATACATCTCAATTTTAAAAACTTGACCATGAGTTATACATACTACAGTATATTTTCAGAGACCATGGTATTAGCTGTCCTGTTTCGTAACAACTGTGACATTATACCAAAAACCGACAAAGCACAGCTGTAATCGCGGTTAATATCACGATTAAGTGCGTGCTTGCCGCTGTAATGAGGATATTGTGACGTCAGCTGCGGGATTGATACAATGTTTCGCCGTGACGTCACAGAGCTGCGGGAGTTTCCCGCGTCAGCGCGTGATCCTTTCAGCCTTTTTTAGTTTTTCGTGAAACTAGAACAAAATCACTTAAAAGAGACATAAAAGCAACGAATCGTGTGGTTCAGAGCATCCGTACGGGTGTTTATGACACCGAACCGCGTGAAACCGAAAGTACATTAAATATCTGGCAGAATAACGCGGTTTATTATCGAGATCTTGAGATATGAATGAAGAAACCGACGAGTATACATCACTGAGCGTGCGCCTTGTGTTATTCTATGCGATAAATAAATAAATACACTTCGATCGAAACATTGCATTGGTACGTCTAACATTAGATTACTTATGTAAACACAGCGAATAAGTATTAGCTGGCACGAGCGCTGTATGAGGAGTATATGATGTATTTTATGCTAGTATTTCATGTTTATTTTCTCACCCCGAGAGCAGAAAGTCTCTTCCGTGTTCCGTGTTTTCATCACATGAGTGACGCTGACCGGCGCAATACCGTACTACTCCTACTACTTCCGCAGTTCAATGCTGTGAGCGCATGCGGGGTTTTTTAGTGCGCAGAAAGTAACATGTTAATAGCCCGCAGCTTAGCAACGTTTGTCGTTCAGTGCATAGTTTCACGTAATATTTTAATTAAAGTATATACATTGGATACTGTCCGCTAAGTAGTATGTTAGCGTTCCATTGCGCACACAGCCTTATGCAGCCGTAAATATCATAGTAGAGGAGACCATAAAACTACGGTATTGGTTGTTTTCTGTTTCAAATTTCTTTTTTACTTCTCTCTCTCTATTTTTTTTTAAATTATAGCAGCAGATGCTCGTTCACAGACATGTTATTTCCAGTGGTTCTGTGGTGAATACATTTTTTTTTAAATAAATAAATAAAAACATTTATTTGACTAATGTGCGGTATGTGATATTTTAGTACACCGGTAGAGGGCGCTGCTCAGCGCAGAGTAGGCTCGATTAGCCCACATCTAAAGACGTATACATATAAATACATATTTCAAATGTAATATGAGCCACTATTATAAGTAATGTCATCATTGTAATAGTGGCTCCGTAACCTGACAGCAGGAAGCGCGTTTCTCTATTGGAGGCGTGTTGTGTTGATAAGCAGGGAAATTCCCGCTAGCATTGCGCAAGCAGAGTGGCGCAGCGGAAGCGTGCTGGGCCCATAACCCAGAGGTCGATGGATCGAAACCATCCTCTGCTAAGTTTTTATGTTTCATTAAAAAGTACTAACTGTCCAACATAAATGAACGACACGTATGTTAGAGAAAGCATCGAAGACAGAACTACAACCAACGATTTTACTGAAGCAACGCAATCCATAGTTACAGTGAATATTGCTATTGCACGGTTGTTATTGTTCACCTATAGGTGTAATGGTTTCTCTACTGTAGAAACTGTATTTTCTATCCCCTTACCTAAACACAGGAAACTTTCTGCTGTTTCAGATTCTCAAAATTCAAGCTCAAAAGCAATGTCCCCAAAGCCAAAATTACTGTCTTTGTGAGGACATTTGCTCCCTAATGTAGGGAATACCAGTTACACACACACACCATATGCTTCCCTTTTCCATTGAATTGAGCTGATCTTTTGTTTATTAATGATTTACATTAAGGCAGAGCTCACCATTTTCCAATAAATATTAGCACAGAACAAAATCGTCAGAGAAGAACAGCTCTCATCGAGATTAAAGCAGGACTAGTTCACCGTCACACCCAGACTCAAACAGATCCCGAAAGATCTTTTGTTCTGCTCTGTTTGAGCTACCAATAATAAATCGCCTTCATCATCAGACAGTGTTTGAAATTAATATGGTTTCATTTCTCCAGCTGGTGATGTGGATGTTGAGAATGGTGTGTTTATTTATTGTTATTAAATAAAGATCATGTTCCATGAAGATATTTTGTGGTAAATTTCCTACCGTAAATATATCAAAACTGAATTTTTGATTAGTAATATGTATAATAGTATTTATTCAGCTTTCAGATGATGTATAAATCTCAACTTCAAAAAATTTAACCTTATGACTGGTTTTGTACTCCAGGGTCACATATAGATATTATTATTATAATAACAGATAGATAGACAGATAGATAGATAGATAGACAGACAGACAGACAGACAGACAGACAGACAGATAGATAGATAGATAGATAGATAGATAGATAGATAGATAGATAGATAGATAGATAGATAGATAGATAGACAGACAGACAGATAGATAGATAGATAGATAGATAGATAGATAGATAGATAGATAGATAGACAGACAGACAGACAGACAGACAGATAGATAGATAGATAGATAGATAGATAGATAGATAGATAGACAGACAGACAGACAGATATATAGATAGATAGACAGATGATAGATAGTTAGATAGACAGACAGACAGATAGATAGATAGATAGATAGATAGATAGATAGATAGATAGAGATAGACAGACAGACAGACAGACAGACAGACAGACAGACAGATAGATAGACAGACGATAGATAGTTAGATAGACAGACAGACAGACAGACAGATAGACAGAATGGCACGTTCACCTGCGCGCTCAGGTGTGATGACGTGCGCGTGCGCGAGGAGGCGCTGTCGGGTCGCGCGCGGAGTCGCTGAGGCGGAGCGCGAGTCAAACTCACGCCAGCGGCTCTTCATTCTTTCTGTCATTTAACCGAGAAACTCGCTGACAGCCGCCGTGTTTGTGCTTCGGCCATGCGGTAAGAGCGGGAAGAAACACAGAAACAGGTGAGTGTGTGTTTACACACCACACACCACACACACACCACACACAGACACACACAGACACACACCACACACACCACACACCACACACACCACACACACACCACACACACCACACACACACCACACACACACTCACTCTCTCTCTCACAGGCACACACACACACCACACACACACACACACACACCACACACACAACACACACACACGCAAGGAAGCAAGAAAAAGCCCTCCAGGCCACAACTGATCTCAGGTAGATACATGAATCTTTATTATAACTCTTATATAATTTTCGCTGACAGCCGCCGGGTTTGTGCTTCGGCCATGCGGTAAGAGCGGGAAGAAACACAGAAACAGGTGAGTGTGTGTTTACACACCACACACCACACACACACCACACACAGACACACACAGACACACACCACACACACCACACACCACACACACCACACACACACCACACACACCACACACACACCACACACACACTCACTCTCTCTCTCACACACACAGACACACACAGACACGAACGGATGCCGAGGCTCTGCTGCGCTTGTGTAAAGAGGCCAGTTACCTGGTGAGAAACAGTGAGACTAGTAAGAACGACTTCTCGCTCTCGCTCAAGTAAGAAGCTCACCGTCTCACACACACACACACACACACACACACACACACACACACACACCACACACACACCACACACCACACACACACCACACACCACACACACACACACACACACACACCACACACACACACACACACCACACACACACCACACACCACACACACACACTCACTCTCTCACACACACACACACTCACACACACACACACACACACACTCACTCACACACACACAAACTTGTATGTTGTAGACCGCGGTGTTTTTAAATGTAAGTTACTCTTTGTAAACACAAACAGCAGCTCGTTCGCGGTGTGTTGTAGCTAGTGTGTATTATTGTGTTTATTTTGTGTGTTGATCACGGTTCCGCTCCGGTCGCTGGTTTAACGGCGGCGCGGTAAATACTGTCCCGGTTGCCATGGCAGAGCCGGGCACGCGCACGCGTTACATTAGTGATCAGATCTTATTATTACGTCATCATTACAGCCGTGTTTACCACTAAATGTACCATATTGAAATAAAAATTCATAAGCGTCAGCTAAATGACTAAATGTAAATGTAAAAAAAAAAAGCAAAGACACAGAAAATTTATTCCAACATCATAAAATGCATTAAACATTACATATCAGGGTAACAGTAGTGGGTTTGTGTGAGTTGACAGAACGCTAATAATTAATTAAATCATAAAAATATTTGTTTACCTGCATGTCAGTGACCATTAACTGACACCAGAGAACTGTAAACATGCAAATGTATTGTTAAACTATTGAAACATTAACTTCCCCAGAGATATTTCAGCTAAATATTTTATTATAAGGGGTTTGGCTGACAAAAAAGTTTGGGAATCCATGCATTACATCAACAAACATTAATACAAATGAATACAGCAATGACATTATGTACCCAAAGTCTTTATATTTTATCCTGACTTTCCCAAATGAACACATACTGAAGCTCACTGGATATGATGACAGCTATACATCACCAGTGTTCACATAGTTATTTGTTTCATACATAGTCTAATTGCTTATAATTTAACATTTAAATAAGAAAAGAAGAAGAATTTAGGGGAATCAATACATTTAAGAATTAAAATGCCGCTGTGTGAACAACATGCAATCACATAATCCATAAAAAGTCATCTGATTATGAGCATTATACAATGAAATATGCTCTAATTGCAAGTATTGCCGAGATCGAACGTGAGCTTTCTAACAGGATTCTCTGCGGTAGATAAGATGCTCTTCACTAATATCTTAAGCGTTGGGGAAAGTAACGCATTACAATATTGTGTTACTCCCTAAAAAAGTAACTAAATACATCGTTTCTTTTTATGGAAAGTAGCGCATTGTTACTTTTTAAATCCAAGCTGAGCTTGCATTTTTGTTTTTAATATAAAAAGTTCTATTTTTGTCAAATGCAAAAGCCTTTTCACACCAAAAGTGAAATGAATAGGCTGAAGTAAACGGATTCTGGATTGCATGAAGAATAGGACGCAGGAGAAGAAAGTTCAACACTCTTCAGCAATGAAAATAAATTAAACACAAATGCTATGTTTATCTAAAGTATTTTTTTTCTTGTTAGCATGGTTAAATTGGATCATTGAGGGTCAGCAGCAAAGACACTGGCTAATAAAATGGGATTAAATACATAAAGGATAGGCCTATTTGTGTTGTTTAACATAATTAATTATTGCAGGTTTGCATCATATTCTGAGTTTGCATTCCGTTGTTTTTATTCATTTTGAGGAATACTGAATCTGTTTTTGTGCAAGTGAGATGAGTAAATGGTGCAAAGACGAAAAAGTGTTTAAGCATAAAAACAATAAGTGTAATACTGCTTTAAAATTCTGTTTAATTTAATTGCAATTTTGTTTTTGTTTTTCTGAGCAAAAAATAAACATCACACATTTTCCCCTGATTTTCAGAAGAGAGCCACTAAAATGTCATTCAGTGTAACAATCTCGTCAGGCATATTTACAACAAAAATCAATTTATGACATATTAAAAGACTAATTACTTTCACCCCAAATACTAATTAGTTATCTACTATCCGAGATATCCTAGGTTTTGCCCATTTGTCAGTAAGACTTTTTTACTCATTTAATACACAATCAGATTTAAT